TTTTTTGCATTTGCATTTGCACTTTCAGTGCACTGAAATTTTTAGTGGGTATTAAAAATAGATTTACGGTACTCATAAAGCCGTTCTTATCACGCGAAAAATTATTTTTGGTAAATAAAAATGAAATGACTTTATATTCGCTCAATTAACAGATAAGAAATATGAAATTGTAAGCGTGGATATAATCGTAATATAGATATATGCCTTATTTAGCTATCTGAACTTATCCAATCGTCTCTTCCTCTCTCTCTCTCTCTCTCTCTCTCTCTCTCTCTCTCTCTCTCTTATCGCTTGCAGCGCCCGATGCCTACGTTGCGCTCGACACCAAACTCGCATACATCAATCCAGAGAAGATAGTCAGGTTGTCGGATGCAGTGCAGCAGAGTCACGCTGGGGATGAGCTGCAGCGGCGGCGCCGTGCTGCACCAACGGGCACGGCGGACTCGCCGCCCGTTCTGGGACCGACAATGGATGTCAAGCATCAGTATCAGAGCGTGAGCGCCAATGTGAACGCGAGCGGAAGTGTCGCAGCAGGAGCAGACGGTGCCACAACGGTCACCACCGTGGACAGCAAGGCTGCTGCAACGGGCAGCGTTACCTACAACGTGCACAACGTGGGCGTCAATGGCACTGGGCAGCGCAAGGACCTCAGCAGCGGCAGCGGCGATATTGCCAACAGCACCAATGGCACCGCCAGCATCAATGTGTCGGCTGCTGTGCCCAGTGCGCCGCCAAAGAAAACGCAGCTGATGGCATCGCAGCCAATGCAATATCCCAAGAAGGTGGCATCCCAAGCCGCGCAGGCAACGACAACAACCACCACAGATCGTGCGCTGATCGACGATGTCGATGTGTCCGACGAGGTCATCACCAAGGAGGCCAACAAATCCCAGCTGACCCGGTACGAGGATCACTACGACTACTATCGCAGCCTGCTCTACGAGAACAAGAGCGAGACGGATGAAATTTGGTCACAGTATCGCAACATACCAGTGAACAGTATGCTGTCCTCCTCGCATCGCCGGGCCATGACCGTCGAACTGAAGTTCGCGTTCCCCTTCTACGGTCACTATGTGCGCAACATAACCGTGGCCACCGGCGGCTTCCTCTACACCGGAGAGTACGTCCACTCCTGGCTGGCGGCGACTCAATATATAGCACCGCTGATGGCCAACTTTGATACGAGCATGTCGGACGATTCGTTTGTGCGGCTACTGGACAATGGTGAGTCCTTGCATAGCATATCTAGTCTTCCATAACTCTCACTGATTACATGTGATGTTACTCCTGCCAGGCACCGCCTTCACCGTCGTCTGGGAGAATGTCACGCTGCAGGATAAGCCCAATTATGGCAAATTCACGTTCAGTGCCACGCTGCATCAGAGTGGAGACATTGTGTTCGTCTACTATCAGCTGCCCATGCAGATCAACAACATACAGGATAATCAGCATCCGGTCAAGGTCGGACTCTCGGATGCCTATATCGTGGACAAGATGCTCTTCTGTATGTGCTGCACATGAGTTATATGGCTTGACCGCAAACTAATTCCTATTTTGCCTACTCCTAATCCAGTTGCTCGCCGCAAGACCATCTATGAATATCATCGCGTCACATTTAGCCAGCAGGAAATCAGGAATTCGACAATTGTCGTCCTCACTGCCTTGCCCACATGTCTCGGCTACTCCGACTGTCAGGCGTGCATTAATCACAATACCACATTTGAGGTGAGCTGCGCCAATGTGCCTTTCATTTTGAATTTGAAACTAATCCTTGATTCGTTCCATTCCCGCAGTGCGTTTGGTGCCCCACGCTGAATCGTTGCTCCACAAGCACTGGCAACGATCGCAGAAAGCAGGAATGGCAGCAAAAGGGTAAATCTTAATATTAATCTCAATGAAGCCAATGCAATTTGATTTGTATTTACTGGAATGGGTTGTTCTATGTTCATAATCAGCTCGGGAATAGGCAATTACTAGCTCACTGTATATGAAAGTTGTTTAGTCGCTTTTATTAATATATCTACTACTACTACTAGTCAGGGAATGTTTATATCGCCGCTCTTTTTAAAGCTCTTCAATTTGTTTATGACAAATAATTGTTATAAATCTTAAAATATTTAGTGAAAAAAAAAAAAAAAAAAAAAAAAAAACAAAATGAATGACAAAAACAGACAAAAGATATTTATTTTTACGGCAAATGAAAGAACGGTATAAACTTTTATTTGCAAATTTTATTAAACTTTTTTTGCTATTTCTAAAATAAATTTATGTGGTAAAAAAATTGTATCACATAAATTTTCATATAAAAATCAAATTATTTGTATATTCAATTTTGATAAAAAAAAAAAAATTAGGACATAAATTTAATTTTTTTTTCTTTTTTTGATTTTTATATCAAAATTTGATGTGTAATAATTATATATTATTTGTATCATTTGAATTGATTTTAATAACTGAGAGACATTTTTTTGTTTGGATAACTTGAAGAATAATACAAATTATAATCGCTAAGGTTCCTGACAAAATGTTTATCACTCATTATACTACTTAAGGCTTACAAATGCAGCTTAGAGATCTTAATTGACTTTTAGCAACATGTATTCCAAAACTTTGGGTTATTAATAACTCAAATTCTGAAATATGCTAGGTATTTGTATGACAAATTTGTATCTATCATGTCTAATAAGGTTAACGAGTGTTAGAGATATTTATTGAACTTTATCATGTGTGTTCCAAAATATTTATCAGGCCATGTTCTTTCATCGAAATCTTAATAGGTCAATTACTTAAGGATTATCAATTTTTGTATCATAAAATATTAATCAAACACTGTACCCATTAAGGCTAACGACATTTTTATATAGTTAAGAAAGAAGATGGACAAGAAGAGTGAAAGAAAACTTAACGATAACATAAGCAATTTAAATGTATAACCTGAATGGGAACAGAAACACTTTCCCCACAGTCATAGATGTTGATTGATATTGAAAGTTTTGATAAATTATGGAAGATTTAAAGTGTAGTTTTTATATTAAGAGCTATTATAAAATGTAATTAGTAAGAGAAGGGGAAATAATACTAAAAAGAGCGAGAAAGAAGATAAGATTGAATTGGCCAATCAGTGCACAATGTGGAAAATATACTAGGCTATTATTTATTATCTATAACCCATTCGATATCGAAAGCGATAATTGATCAATTTGCTACAATTTGCTATTTTGCAGGCTGTGATCGTTCGATGATTAGCAGCAGCGATGCTTGCCCGGCGCTCGGCCAAAAGGGCAACAATGCTGCCCAAGAGAATAGCAGCAGTAACAACAGCAGCAACAACAACAGCAACAACAGCAGCAGCAACAATAGCAGCAACAACAACAACAGCAGCAGCAGCGTACCCAGCGGGTCGCCCGACGCCAATGGGTCAGCAGGCAGTGCACCGGCAACAGAGCCAACTATTAACAGCACGCAGCATCCGTCAAGCGGCACCTCAGCGGCTGCAGGCCACGCGGCCGGCGATGGCGTCAATGCCGAGAAGAGCGAACATCTTGGCGCCGTGCTGCCAGAGAATAAGAATGTAGGCGTGGCTCTTGGCTTTATGGTGCCCATTTGTCTGGTGTTTGCGGTGACGCTGTGGCTCTTCTATGCGTACCGAAATCCGCACACACGGAGCGGTCAACTGCTCATTCAGGTGAGTCGATCAATCAGCCATGGGCCAATTAATTAATTGCAAACTAAGCGATTTCTGTATATTTACATGCAGTCCAAGCATTTACATCAGGTTTGTTAACTAATCGTTTAGCCCTTGACCTTTGTCATTAACCCAACTAGTTTGTCTCTATCATCTGTCTCTTTATTTTATTAATCGATCTTCTCTCCTCTCTTTCACACAGTTCCGTCCCAGCCAGTGGTCATGGCGACGCGGCGAGGCGCGCTACACGGCGGCCACGATACACATGTAGTGCAGCGGAGAGATATAATCGTGCATCTGTTGCGTGTCACTGGGATGTAACGTGTCACAGCCGTGACAAAATATCAGTTAAAATGTCTGCCTCCGCTTTCCCGCCCCATCCTGCGCAAACGCCTTACCTTCCGCCAGCAACTGCAACTGTGACTTGATATAGAACATCAAATTGAAATATATATATATATTAATGCATATATGTATGTGTACTAACCGGGCAGCTATCGATAATTCTCACAGTTGTCCATCGTTCAATCGCTCATCTCTTACAAACAATTAACGAAAGCGTGTCTAATCACAATTACAATTGGAATAGAAATACATATTTCAATTTAAGAAAGAGAGAGAGAGAGAGAGAGAGAGAAACATAGCAGTAAAGTATTTTGGAACACTGAGAGAACAGTAATTAGCAGTGCATTAAGAATAAAACTAACCGAAATTTAAAGAACCCATAACAAAAAAGAAAAGGAAAAAAAAGACAAATACATTAATATCCTAATCTGCCTAGTACATTTTATAATTGTTGTAAAAGGGCAACATTGCTTTAAGGATAATTGAGTTCAAGCAAGATGCTCTCCTTGTCTTCTTCTTCTACTTCCTCATTGAATATCCGTGATCTAGATCCCTCCCTGTACCTTTAGTTCCCACCAAACAGCTATACATATATATATATACACACACACACGCACGCATACACAGACACGGGGCACAGTGCTTTCAATATAGTAGTTCAATTGTAAAAATCATTTTTTTCTGTTTGTTTTTTTTTTTATTAT